GTGTTCGACCACAAGGGTCAAGCGTTATAGATCTATCGTGGGGCACGCTGGCAGCTGGCGACCGCCTCTCGGACTGGTAGGTGGATGGGGCTGAGTCCCTGTCGCGTAATATAATGTATTAGATTTAGCTATAGCCACGATGCTACAGAGATTTGAATTTCTCGCCCACAACATAAAATATCTCTCGATGGAAGGTTAACTCCCTTGACTAGGACTATTTGGTTACTGCCCTCATTTCAGGAGAGTAGACGAGTGAAACTATGAGCGGGGAGAATACGTTCAGTGCGGACTTCCCAGACAAACTTGTGAAGTGGGCACAGTCAACACTGAAACAAGCGTGCGACATGGCCATGTCTTGGGTGAGGGTACAAACATGTGGTAGTAAGTGTACTAACTTGTGGTCGGATGAATAAACGCACCTTAGGGCCGTTGCAAGGACCACAGGAAGGAAACTTTCCAGAGCCTGGAAAAAAGAGAATATGGATGAAATAGTGTGGTGCCTGAACTCCCGAAGGATCGAAAGGAGGGCACTGACTGGGGCCATTAAAGAAGTCAAGAAGAACACCTGGAGGGACCTGCTGGACTCTAATGATCCAAAGGGTAGAACATACAAATTCGTTATGTGGAAACATATGCCTCATGCCCCACCAGTAACTGAAACCATGGAGGATGAGGTACTGGAGAATATAATCTCTGGCCTATTCCCAGGACAACCGGGAACTGATGAGCCGCAGGATCCTGCACACTCAGAGGTGACTATCTCTGCGGAGAAGGTCTTGGCTGTTGCCGGGAAAGGAAAAGGAAGGAAGGCTCCTGGACTGGATGAGAAAACAGGTGTGGATGTGCGTGCTGCGTCGACACTCTGTTGGAAAATGTTGACGCAATGCTTCTCCGCATGCTTGTGGACTGGAAAGTTCCTGACAGCGTGGAAGATAGCGAGGTTTGTCCTGATCAAAAAGAAGAGGATGCACACCCAGACTCACCAGGATCATATAGACCCGTACGCGTGATTGGCGAACTGGGGAAACTATTCGAGCGTATAGTTGTTGGCCGTATCAACAGCTACTTAGAGGAGATTCTGACCCTGGCGCCATCTCAGTATGAATTTATGACCGGCATATCCACCGTAGATGCCATTCTCCATTCTAATAAATTTGTGTAGGCACCGCCGTGGGACGGGAAGGTGGTTATCCTGTTGAGTCTGGATACCTCTAACGCTTTCAAGTCCTCACCATGAGCCGTTATCGTTAAGGCGTTGGAGCGGAAATATTTTCCTCGCTACTTGGTGAGCATCATCAGGCGTTATTTAGCAAATCGCGCCATGACATATACAGAGAGACATGGACGCGCCGTAGATAGACAGGTGTATTTTGGGGACAGGTAAGGATCCGTTTTGAGTCCTATCTTGTGAAACATTGCCTATGACAGTGTCCTCCGAACCCCGATGCCAGATGGCTTCCGTGTTGTCTGCTATGCGGATGACACGACCCTCCTGTCATCGGGATGAGACCTGTCTCAGGCTATCATTAGCGCTGAGCAGGACTTGGACATTTTGGTGGAGGAGATAAGGGGATTGGGTCTTAAAGTGGCGCTGCAAAGGACGGAGGACATGGTCCTCCCTGCCTCTGCCTTCTGCAGACGCAAGAATATCCCACCCCCTAAGATTTGCCATAGAAGGGTTTGCGTAGATATTAGAACCAGCGTTACATACTTGGGCATAGTAATGTCGTTCAGGCCCCATTTGAGGCCCTAATCCCTAAAGCGGAGGATATCCTCCGGTCACTTAGGAGGCTTCTTATGAACCTTCACGGACCGGGGGAAGAAAAACAACGCCTTTACAGCGGCGTGATCCACTCGGTGCTCCTTTATGGTGCGCCAGTGTGGTGGCGCGCCGTTGTGGAGGACATGAGGATCGGGTGGGCTGTTCGGAGCCTCCAGAGGATCCGGGTGCGTTGTGCCTATAGAACGGGCTCCTTCCACGCGACTATGATGAATGCAGGGATTATTCCTCTCCCTCATCTGGCATTCCGACTGGCGGATATGTATGCGGCTGTTAGAGACGCGGAGGATCCTGTTCCCACGTATACCAAGGCTATATTGGGGAATCTTGTCAGACGTACGGCATAGAAGCTTGGAATTCTGAGGAACTTGGGCTCGTATGAGCACCAGTAACAACGGGAGTGCATGCGAGGGTGGCTATTACAGAATGGTTATCTAAGTGGATTGGGTTGCCGTTCTCTAATGGAACGAGATTTCACATCACACAGCTGAGTACCGACTATGACTGTTTCTTTATGTACTTAAATAAGATAAGAAAGATTCCCTCCTCACGGTGTTCTCACTGCGGATGGAGTGTGTATACGTCGGAGCACACCCTGATCGACTGCCCGACGTGGACAGATGCCAGGAATGGGTTGATCGATTCGGTGGAGGGAGGGCAGCTAACCGTTTCCGTGATAGTCAGGATCTCCCTACCTGTCCCAGGGGGATGGGCAGATTTCCAGACCTTCGCAGGGCGGGTCATACGTGCAAAGGTGAATGTTGAGAGGCTCAAGGAACGGACGCAAGAAGAAGGATGTATGAGTAAGCATGCTGGTGTGCATGTGGACATGAATGCGAACTATAGGCCGCATAGGAGAGTAGTTCCAGTGCGGCCACTTCTGATAAGGCTTCGATCTGTTCAGGCTGTGACTGGTTCACGCGTCACTACCCTCTAGGATTGAGTGAATGTACTCATACAGTGTGTGTATACGAGCGTGAATGGGCTTGGTCAGAGCACCATGGAGTGGGGATCGGGCCAATATGTTTGTATGTAGTTAGTGAGTAATTGCATCTCCGGGGGTTCTTGGGCCCCTATCGAGTGCGCCGTATTGGTATGAATGGATATGAGGAATGAAAGCAAGGCGAATACCGGCCTGGCTCATCGAGGAGAAGTACGTGGCTCCTTTCTAATATGCTGATGGGCGTTCCCACTCACCCCTTCTCTTCACAACGTGTTAGTAATGATGATCGCGAAATTTTTAAATCTGTAGGCGAGCCGAAGATGAGAGAATTCTCAGATGGGTTGGGTCCGACATTCTCCTGGGTACCGGGCTCTGTAGGCCTATGAAGGTTTCTCCTCCTGACGAAACAAAAAAAAAGGGAAATTACTGCGCGTGTCTCTCGAACCAATTCAGGTATCGATCTTTGAATTAATCCAATTAGTCGAGGGAAAGTTATGCGAGTTATTGCGGAAACAATGCTACTGCCGGACTTGAAAATATCATGATGAGTCAGTGGAACGGTTTGCGAGTGGTTCTCAAACCAATGCGCCCGGCGTACTTGAAAATATTCCGACAAGTCGAGGGAAAGTTATATTGATGCTTCTCGAAACAATGCGTTTGTAGTAATTGGAAATGTTACTACTAATAGTGGTAAGGTTATGCGATTGTCTTTGAATAAAAGCGGATGTCGTACTTCGAACTATTTCGGCTAGTCGAGGGAATGTTTTACTAGTTATTCTATAACCAATGCGACGGCCATACGTGGAAATGTACGGAATAATCGAGTGCTAGTTATGCGTCTGACCCTCGAACCAATACGGCGCTCGAACTTGGAAATATTCCGACTGGCCGAAGGAAAGTTTTGTGAGTGATTCTAGGGAAAATGCGAACGTAGAGCTTGGAAAAATTCCAACTAGTCCTGGAAATATCAGCAAGTGCCCGTATAACAAATGCACCTGTGGGACTAGGAAATATTCCGACTAGTCGAGGAATAGATATGCGAGTGACTCTAGCACCGATGCGTCTATCGGACTTGAAAATATTCGGACTAATTGGCGAATGTTACGGGAGTGTTTCTCGAACAAATGCTGCTGCTGGATATGGAAATATTCCAACTATTCGAGAGAAAGTTATGCAACTGCCTCTGGAAACAAATCGACTTTCGGACTAGGTGCTATTTTGCCTAGTCGAAGGTAAGTACGTGTGACTTGAGAACCAATGTGAATGTCTGTCCTGGAAATATTCCGCTTAGTCGAGGGAAAGTTTTACGAGTGACTCTGGAACCTAAGCGGCTGTCAGACCTGGAAACATTCCGTCTAGTCGAAAGAAAGTTATGCAAGTTCCTCTCGGATTAGTACTACTGTCGGAATTGGAAAAAGTCCGACTAGTCTAGTGAAAATTATGTGAGTAAGTCCCGAACCTTCGCGACTGTCGAACTGGAAAATGATCCGAATTGTCGATCCAATATTATTCGATTGCCTCTGGAACTAATGCGAAAGTTGGACTTTGAAATATTCCAGCAATGGAGGGGATATGCGAGTGCCTTTCGATCCAATGATGCTGCAGGACTTATGAGTATTCCGAAAATTCTTGTGGAACATATGAGATGCAACTCGTACAAAGTGACTGTCGATTTTGGTAATACTCTGACTAGACGTGTGAAAGTTATTCGAGTTATATGTGAACCTATGCGTCTCTCGTGCTTGGAAATATTTCGAATAGTCGAAAGAATTTAATGCGATATTTTCAAAAGCCAATACAACGTTCGGACTTGGTAAAATCACGACTGGTCGGAAGAAATTTATGCGAGTGCTTCTTGAACCAATACGTCTGTAGAAATTGGAAATATTCCGACAAATCGAGAAAAAGTTATGCAACTGCCACTCAATCACAAACGACTGTTGGTCATAGAAATATACCGCCCAGTTGAGATAAAATTGTACGAGGGCCATTCGAAACAATGCGGCTGTGGGACATGGAAATATACCGACTAGGCTAAGGAAATTTATGCAGGTGTATTGTAAACTAATGCGACTGTCGGACTTGGAAATATTCCGACTAGTCGAGGGAAAGTTAGGCGAGTAACTTTTGAGCTAATACGCCTTTCTGACTTGGAAACATTACAATTACTCGAGAGAGAGTTATGCGAGTGACTTGAAAATCAATGCTACTGTCGGGCTAGGAAATATACCGACTAGTCGAGACAATATTATGCCAGTGCCTCCCAACAATTTACTACTGTCGGATTTGGAATTATCTTGAGTAGTCGATCAGAAGTTATGCGATTGCATCCGGAACCAACGCGAATGTCGGACTTGGAAGTATTTTAACCTTTCTATGGTAAGTTATTCGAAAGCCTCTCAAACCAATACGGCTACCAAACATAAAATGCTCCGACTAGTCAAGGAAAAGTTATATGGTTAACTCTGGAATTTGAGTCTCTGACTATGTGATATTCCGACTAGTCAAGAGAAGTTGTGCGAGTGCCTATCGAACTAATTCGGCTGTCGATCTTGTAAATATTCGGAACTGTCGTGGAAAAGTTAAACGGGTGACATTGGAACCAATGCGACTATCGGACTTGAAAATATCCCGACTAGTCAAGGGAATGATGTGCCAGTAACTTGTGATCCAATGCGACTATCAGACTTAAAATTATCCAGAGAAGTCGAGGAAGAGTTATACAAGTGAATTTGGAACCAATGGAACCGTTTTACCTGGAAATTACAGACTAGATGGGGGGACATATACTAGTGCCACTCGAACCTATGCGACAGACGGACTTGAACATATTATGACTAGTCGAGGGAAATTTATGGCGAGTGCTTTTAGATATAAAGCGTATGTCGACCCTGGAAATATTCCAATTAGTAGAGGAAGAGAAATGCGGGTGACTTTTAAATCAAAGTAACTGTCGGACTTGCTAATATTAAGTCGGTGCGTATGAAATGTCGGATTTTCCTTAAATGTGAATGTTTGTCTCCCTGTTTTTGTTATGCTTTTGTTTTTGATATAACCTGGTTTATAGTCGTACTGTCCATTGCCAGAGTCACATTTTAGCAAAGAAGATTTTTTCAAATGTGTTCCCTTTTGTTATTTGCATTGAATTTTGCACCGATTTGAATTCAACTGAAATTCGTGTACTTTTCTTATATGAGTATATATTTGGTAATAATGCTGCAAAAGCTGCACGCAATATAAACAAGGCGTTTGGGGAGAATATTGTGAACGATCGAAAAGTGCAGCATTTGTTTGAAAAATTTCGGTCTGGTGATTTTTCCCAGCAAAATTGACCGCGTGGAAGACCCGAAATGTTTGTGAAAAATGATGCTCTGAAAGCATTGGTGGAAACGAATCCAACTGTTTCTTCAAGGTAACTTGCTGCCAGAATGGAAGTTGACCAGACAACAATATCGCGACATCTTTCCGAAATTTGCATGGTAAAAAAATGGATAAGTGGATACCGCACGAACTAACCGAGCGAAATAAGTAGGATCGCTTGAACGTATGCTCATCATTGCTAACCCGATTTAATCGAGATCCATTTTTCGATCGGATCATTACTTGTGATGAAAGATGGGATCTTTACGACAATAGGAAAAGGTGTGCTCGGTGGCTTGATAAGGATGACGCTTGTGCTCATACTCCACTGCCATCACTTCATCCACATCGAAAATTTTAATCACAGTTTGAGGGAGTGCGACTGGAATAACACACTACTCATTCCTTCGAACTGGAATGTCAATTACAGCCGAAAATTATTGTCCGTACAATGAATAAATGGATGAAAAATTGAAAAATAATGGCCCATCACCTATTAATCGGCATGGCGCAATACTTCTCCACGACAACGCTCGGCCGCATACATCGTACAAAACAATTACAAAATTAAATGAATTAAAATATGAAATTTTGCAGCTCCCACCTTATTCACCAGATCTTTCGCCAACCGACTTTCATTTATTCAAACATTTAGAACTTTTTTCACGCGCTAAACAGTACGAAAATGAAGACAGTCTGAAAAATGCCATATCAGAGTTCATTGATTCTAAAGATCAGAATTTCTTCAAGACAGGCATCTGTGCATTAAAATCTCGTTGGGAAGTGTGTATTGAAGTAAATAGAGTATATTTTGATTAAATAAACAGCTTTTGGAAAAGGATATACAGTTCAATATATTCACTTAATAATCCGACATTTCATTCGCACCAACATAATATTTCGACGTTTAAAGAAAATATTATGGGAATGCCTCTCGAACCATTGCGTCTGTCAGACTTGCTTATATTCCTATTGGTAAGGTGAAATCCATGCGAATACCATTCGAAAGAAGCGGCTATCGATCTTGGTGAAACTCTGACTAGTCGAAGAAAAGTAATAAAAGCGATTAATGAACCAATGCGACTGTCAGTCTTGAAAAATTCCGACTAGTCAGGCGAAAGGTATGCGATAGTCTCCCAAACATATATTAAAATATGGAAATATTTTGAATAGTAGAGTGAAAGTTAGGCGAGTGACCCTCGAATCAATGAGGTTGTCGTACTTGGAAATATTCCATCTAGTCGCGAGAAACTTTTGCTAGTGTTACGGGAACTTAATCGGCTGCTGGACTTAGAAATATCCCGCCTAATTGAAAGATAGTTATGCTAGTGCCTCTCGAAACAATGCGATTGTCGAAAATGGAAATATTCTGACTATTCGAGGAACAGTAATTCGAGTGACTTGTGAGCCTATGCGTATGACATGATTGGAAATATTACGATTAGTAGGGGAAAAGATATGCGTGCACCTGTCGATTCTATGCGACTGTCGGATTTGGTAATTATCCGACTTGTTGAGTGAAAATTATGCGAGTGACTCGCGACGCATTGCTACTGACGGACTTCGAAATATATTTACTATTCCAGCGAATGTCATGCGAGTGACACTCGACCCAATGCGACTGTCATACTTGGAAATAATCCGTCTAGTTAGGACAATTATATGCGAGTGCCAGTCGAAATAAAGCGTTTGTGGGACTTGGAAATATTCTGACAATTCAATTGAAAATTCTGAGAGTTCCCCCGACCCATTGCGACTGTTGGACATGGAAATATTCACATTAGTCGAGTGAAAGATATCCGAGTGACTCCCTACCCAACGCGACTGTCGGACTTGGAAATAACTCGATTAGTCATAGGAAATGCGACTGCTTCTTGAACCATTGCTGGTATCGGAATTGCAAATATTTCAACTAATCGGAGGGCAGATTTGCGAGTGCATCTCAAAACAATGCGGTGATCGTACCTGAAAATATTCCGATTAGTCGAGGGAACGTTGTGCAATTGCATTACGCAACAATGCGTCTGTCGCAATTGGACATATTCCATCTAGTCGAGGGAAAGTTTTGCGGGAACCTCACGAATCAATGTGACTGTCAGTCCTGGGAACATTCATACTAAGCGGAAGAATGTTGTGTTTAGTCCTCTTGGACTTTCTTATTTGGAAATATTCCTACTAGTCGAGGGAATGTTGTTCACTTACCTTTCGAATTACTGCATCTTCTAGACTTCGCATTATGCCGAATAATCCAGGAAGAGTTGTACGAGTGCCTATCGGACGTATGCAATAGTCGGAACTGGAGATATTAACACTAGTCGAGGAAAAATTGTACAAGAGCTTCTCTATAGGGTGCAGACGGATCTGGAAATATTCTGTCCACTCGAGGGAATTTTGTGGGAATTCCTCTCGAACTAGTGCGTCTTTTGGATATGGAAATATTACAACTAGTCGAGGAAAATTTATACGAGTGTTTATCGAACCAGCACGACAGTCGAAATTGGAATTATATCGACTAGTCTAGAGGAGGATGTGCAAGTACATCTCGGACCAACGCGACTATTGCACTTAGAAATGTCCCTACTAATTTAGAGAAAATTATGAAAGGGTCTCTCGAATGCGAAAATCGGTTCTAGAAATAATACGCCTAGTCGAGGGAAAGTTATGTGATACTCCCTAGAAATAATGTGACTTTCGCCCTTGGAAATATTTCGGCCAAACGAGGGAAAGTTATGCGAGAAACTCTAGAAAAATTGCGACTGTCGGAATTGGAAACATTCCGACTATTCAAGGAAATTTTGTGCGCGTACCATTCGAATCAGTGTGTCTTTCGTATATGGATATCTTCCAAGTAGTCAAGGGACATATGTGCGGTTGTTTCTCGAATCAATGCGGCTGTCGTACTCGGAATTTTCCTATTAGTCGAAGGAGATTTATGGGAGTTCTCTCAAATTATTTCGACTAACAGACTTGGAGGGAAAGATATGCGAAAGCCTCTCGGAACAATACCACTGTAGTACATCTAATCATTCCGACAAGTCGAGGGAAAGTTATTCGGGTGCATAACACAAATGCATCTGTCAGACCTAGATATATTCCAACCAGCCGAGGGAATGTTATGCGTGTGCGTTTCGTACCAATGCGACTGTAGAACCTAGAAATATGCCGACTAGTCGATGGAAAATCATGTTAGGCTTGTGAATGAGAAAGTCGGACTTTGAAATATTCCGACCAGAGGAGGGAAAGTTATGCGAGTGAATTGCGAAACAACGTGACTGACGTTCTTGAAAATATTCCGACTTACGAGGGAAAGTTATGAGAGTGCACCTCGTAGCAGTGCGATTGTCGGACGTAGAAATATTCCGAGCTAAAGAGGGAAATATATGCGAGTGCACCGCAAACCAATGCGGCTGTTAGAACAAAAAGTAGGCTATCCAGCCTTCGAAGGGGACAACACAAGATGGAGAGAGTGAGAAACTCGCGCAGGCGAAATTCCTCCTTGCCAAAATGAAGTCGGCTATTACTAGACAGCCAAACGAGAAAATGCTATTAAGCAAGGGCTCCCAGAACATGAGGACATCATTGACAGTCTCGAGATCATGTATAAATATCGAAAAAAGGACAATAAGTGTGCGAGGACCCTCGTCCGATATTCTCAGAGCCCTAGAACACACTCTATAACAGATGCTGGCGCGGTTGAGAGAGTAGCCACAAGCCCGCCGCAGTTACACCAAGAAATCCTCAAAAGACCGAGGCAAGAGGCGACGATGACAGAAGCCACCAAGTGGACAGAGGTCGTCAGAAAAGAAAAGAAATAAGAAGAAACCAGTGAAAAAGTAGACGAAACATCCACAGTAGGAGAAGAAGAAGTCGAGCAAATCGGAGAACAGGCAGAGAGAGAGAACGAAGTCGGACGTGATCCTCTTGAAACCTGCGCAAGGTAAATCTTACGCAGACGTGGTCCGAGGCATCCACCAGCGCAATAAGACCAGCGCCGCAGGCGTAGACGTTAGATCGGTCCGGCAGACCAGAACCGGTGGGTTCTCCTCGAACTACAGAAGACCACTGCGAATATTATGGTCTCATTCGCAGATACCCTGAGAAAAGAAGTAGGAGAAACGAGCAGCATCACGGAACTGGTCTTTAGAGCTACGCTGGAGATACGGGAATGTCATTGCAGCACGTCGTTGGTAGATGTCGAGGAGGCCCTGAAGAGGACCCTACCAGACTACGCGCGGAGAAATGAAATAAAAATGACGAACCCCAACGCGAGAAATCAACGCCTGGTCCTAGTCCAAATAGATGAGAAAGCATCTGCGAAGCTTTTAAAGGCTGGCCGAGTGCTGGTCGGTTTCGTCAGCTGCAGAGTCAAGCGAAGGGCAGAAGTGAGGCGATGCTACCGCTCTCTCGACTATGGTCACTATAGCGCCCCGTGCAAGGGACCTGATCGCAGTAAGTTTTGCTATTTCTGCGGCGGCAAGAGGCACAAGATAAAAGACTGCAAGGTCAGCGAGCCTACCTGCTTCTTGTGTTCCGATAACATTGTTGAAACTAGGAAGCACCTGGCGGGACCCAGGGCCTGCAAAGCTTTCCAGAAGGCCCTTGCAACATCCAACAAAAGGAAAAAAGTATGAGAGTACTACAGGGTAACCTCAATAGGAGCAGGACGGCCCTCCATCTACTGACTCAGCTCTACTCTGAGAGAAAAGCTGATATTGTCTTAATCAGCGAACAGTACCATGACAGCGCAGGAGTAGGATGGTGCGCAGACGAATTGGGCACCTCGGCCATCTGGATCCCAGATCCCCGACAGATACATGTATCGGATCAAGGATCCGGAAGCGGTTACGTTTGGGTAAGACATAACTTGACGACTTATGTTAGCGTATACTTCACCCCGAACTACCGGATAGACGACTTCCAGACCAAATTGGACGATCTGGAAGACGTGCTGCGGGAAATGCAAGGAGAACTCATTGTGGCCGGAGACCTCAATGCCAAAGCTCTCGAATGGGGGGAGGCCAGGCCGGACTCCAGAGGAAGACGAATCATGGAGGTGGCGTCGAGACTGGAACAATCAGTACTCAACACAGGTTCGATGTCAATCTTCCGCAGGCCTGCCTACAGAGAGACGATCCCGGACGTCCCTCTAACCAACGAACACCTTTTAACAAGAGTCGCAGGCTGGCAGGTGATCGAGGATTAAACCGGGAGCAATCATCAGTACATCCTATTCGATGTACACGATAGGAGGCTAGCCGTGATAAGTGTAGAGCAACCCCCCGGTGGAACATTGCAAGAATGGATCGAGAGAGACTGTTTTCATTCATTGATGAAGATTGGAGATCCCTTCAAATTGCCTCCACGAGTCTATCGCCAATTGCACAAGCCAGGATGATTACTGCAGCAACTATGCAGCTCACCCTAAAGGCTTGCGCCATAGCGGTGCCCAAGAAGTGCACGAAACGGCAGAGGCGTCCTGCATACTGGTGGACGAAGGAGATCGCAGATTTTCGCAAGAAGTGCTTAAGGCTTCGCCGTTTAGCACAACGAGCGAAGAGACACGTCCTCGACGCTACTCCCTTGGCCGCAGAGTATCAAGCGGCCAAAAAAGCGTTGAATAGGACCATCAATGCCAGCCAACGACGGTCCAGGAAGGAGCTGTGCTTGGATCTTGACCAGTATCAGTGGGGTTTATGGTACCAGATCGTCACTCGCAAGCTGGGGACTAATACGCAAGGAATCCCTCAGGACACGAGAAGGTTGGAAAACATCATTCATACACTATTCCCCTCACATCCGAAGAGAAAGATTCGCACGGCTGCACCTAGCACCCCGAAGGGCCACAATTTACAGAGGAGGAACGGCTTAAGGCCGCTTCTTCCATGCGGGACAAGAAAGCTCCAGGACCAGACGGCCTTCCAGGGGAAGTAATGAAAGCCGTCGCGCAGAGTCATGCCAAGCTCTTGTTAAACATGTACAATATGTGCCTCAGGGAGGGCTTGTGCCCATAAGCAAGGGCAAGGGTCCAGCTGATGCGGCTTCATCATACAGACCTACTCTTATGCTCGATACAGCTGGCAAGCTCCTGGAGAAGCTGCCTAGGCCACGGTTGCACGCAGCCTTAAGAGCATTGGGGGATCTTGCTGCCCGCCAGTATGGATTCCGATTCGGCATCTCCACCACCCAGGCAGTCCAGGAGGTTGTCACGACAGCTAAAATGACGGAGCGGTGGAATCATCTAACTCACACTTTGTGTCTGCTGGCCACCTTAGACGTGAGAAATATCTTCAATTCCGTTAGCTGGGACTTGGCAATGGAAGCACTCGAACATAATTTCAACGTCCCGGTGTTTCTACTCCGAATACTCGGGGACTATCTGAACGAGCGCTTCCTAGAATACAGTATTGGCGATGGTTCAAGAAGCTTGGAGTTAACATCTGGGGCAGCCCAAGGCTTCATACTGGGACCGGATATCTGGAGTATTTTCTACGACGGAATCCTTCGTATGGCAGTCCATGAAGGTGCTTTCTTGGTTGGGTACGCAGATTACCATGCAGTTGTCATAATCGTAAGGGACACGGAGGGGGCACAGCTGCTGCTCAACCAGGTCATGCGCAGAGTCATCTCCTGCACGGAAGACCACGGGCTATTTCTGGCAGGCCAGAAGACAGAGATCGTGCTAATTACGAAAAAGCGCAACAATACCTTGCGGAGCTACATTTTAGGAGACACGGCTTTCCAGACTAAGTCGGCTGTCAAATATCTCGGTGTATTGCTTGACAACAAGCTCAGTTATGGAGAATATATACTCAGGGCAGCCGTTAAGGCGGCAAAAGTAGTAGCCTCGCTTGGCACCCTCATGGCAAACGTCAACGGGCCCCGACCGGGCAGGAGGCGACTACTGATGCGTGTCGCACAAGCATTGATGCTGTATGGCGCGGAAGTCTGGGCCGAGGTGCTCCGAAAGGAGAAATATCGCAAGCGCATAGCTGCGGTACAGAGGAGGGGCGCTCTCGGAATCGCGTGCTCCTACTGCACAGCCTCTGAGCCCGCGGTGCTAGTGTTGGGGAGTAATCCCGATCGATCTACTAGTCTAGGAGAGACAATTCATCAATCAGCAAAGGTGTGTTCTGGGAAAGGAGAAGGCATCAAGGCTCGCCAGGTCTGTCAGCATCGAGACATGGCAAAGCAGATGGGAACAGGAGCCTCGGGGCAGATGGACGATCCGACTCATCAGTCGGCTAGACAGCTGGCTAAACAGGGATGTGGGGGGGTGGACTTCTACCGCACTCAATTTTTGGCAGGACATGGTCTGTTCTGCTCCTACCTCGCAAATATGAAGAAGATTGCAAACGGCAACTGCCCTTATTGCGACTCGAACGTCGACGACGACCACCACACATTCTTCAAATGTGCTCGGTGGAGCGTCGAACGTCTTGCCATGGAGCAAGATATCGAAAAAACCCCGCCAGACAACACTGTCGAGAAAATTCTCCCAGATCAGGAGTAGTGGAACATTGTGACTCGGTATGTAAGGGTCGTCTTGCGCAGAAAAATGGTGGAGTTGGGCGGCACATAGACCTGCCCAATATGTTACTCCTGGTTCCAACCACGAAGGGCCGAGGAGGGAGTCCAGGTAAGGGACATGAAGCAGTGGCGCCATTCTGAAGTAATGCCACATGGCGGTCCCGGGATGGTTTGACTATGCCACTAGGATGGACATGTGTTTAGTCGGTAGTGCCTATTCCAAAGGTGAGCCAGACACTCCTGGGACGTCAATGGGGGATCCAAATAGTGAAGGTCTCCTCTGGCGGGCGGGTTCCCTGGGTTAGTGCGTAAAGATTGGCATTCTCAGACCATCAAAAAAAAATTATAATTACTATTATTTATAATATTACTATTACTATTATTATTACTATAATTATTACCATTATTACAACTGTTATTATTACTATTATTATTACTATTATTATTACTAATATTACAACAATTATTAGTACTAGTATTATAACTATTATTATTACTATTATTCTTACTATTATTATTACTATTATTATTAAAATCGTTATTACTAATATAACCACTATTACAATTACTATTATTATCACTGCTATTACAACAATTATTATTACTATTATTACTACTATTGTTATTACAATTATTATTGCAATTACTCTTACTATTATTATTACTATTATTATCACTTCTATTATTATTACTACTATAATTATTAATATTATAATTACTATTATTATTGTTATTATTATTACTATTACTGTTACTATTAATATTACTATTAATACTGCTATCTATCTTGCTATTATTATGGCAAATATTATTACTATGATTATTACTATTGTTATTAGAATTATTATTACTATTACTCTTACTATTATTATTACTATTATTAACATTTCTATTATTTTTGTAATAATTATCATTATAATTACTATAAATTCTGCTATTCTTATTAATCTTATTATTACTATTATTGTTACAATTACTATTGCAAACATTATTACTATATTTACTACTATTGTTATTACAATTATTATTACTATCACTCTTACTATTTTTATTACTATTATCACTTCTATTATTATTATTATTATTATTATAACTACTATTATTAATGCCATTATTATTACTATTATTATTACTATTATTATTTCAATTATTAATACTATTATTATACTATTATTATTACTATTATTATTTCTAGTACTGTCAATATTATTATAACTATTATTATCCGTACTATTAATCGTATTAATATCAATTTTACTATTAATATCATAGTTATTATTATTATTACTATTATTATTACTATTATTATTAATATTATTGTTACTATTATTATTACAATTTATAATTACGATTATTGTGACTATTATTATTACAATTATATATATGATTATTATTACTACAATTATTACTATTATTTTCGCAAATAATATTACAACTATTATTACTATTATTATTACTATTATCATTAACATTATCATTAATATTATTATTACAGTTATTATTACTATTGTTATTACTATTATTTTAACAATTATTATTACAGTTATTCTTACTATTAATAATTCTATTATTATTACTATTATTGTTATTATTATCTTTATTATTATTTCTATTATCATTACTATTATTATTACTCTTATTATTACTGTTATTATTTCTTTTATTACTATAATTATTATTTCTATTAATATTACTGTTAATATTACTATTATTATTACAATTATTATTTCTATTATTATCACAAATATTTTCCTATTATAATTACTATTATATTGCTATTATTATCATTATTACTATTCAAATTAGTATTACGATTATTATTCCTATTATAATTACTATTATTATTACCATTATTATTAAGTTTATTATTATTACTATTATGACTATTATTAGTATTAATATTACTATTATTATTTCTATTATCATTACTATTATTATCAATATTATTATTAATATTATTATTAATATTATAATTACTATTACTATTACTATTATTATTACTATTATTTTTACTATTACTATTATTATTACAACCATAATTATTATTACTATTATTATAGCTATTATTATTACTATGTTTATTACAATTATTATTACAATTATTATTACTGTTAATATTACTGTTATTATTATTATTATCACAATTATTATTATTATTTTTATCACTACTATAATTAATATTATTATTACTATTATTATTACATTTATTATTCCTGTTATTAATATAATTAATAGGACGATCACTATTACTACTTTTATTACTATGATAATTAATATTAACATTACCATTATGATTACTATTTTGATTATTATTATTATTATTATTTCTATTATAATCACAAATATTTTTGCTATTATTATCACTATTATTATAACTATTATAATCATTACTATTATTACTGTTATTATAAATATTGTTATTGCAATTATCATTGTTAATATTATCCCTATTTTTATTGATATTATTATCGCTACTAGTATTACTATTATTCTAACTATTATTATTACTACTACTATTACTATTATTATTATTATTATTATTATTATAATTATTATTACAAATAATTATTATATTTTTTATTGTGAATATTATTACTATTATTATTACTATCATTATTATTATTATTATTATTAGTATTGTTATTATTATTATTATTACTTTTATTATTACGATTACTTTTACTACTATAATTACTATTATTAATACTATTATTACAATTATTATTATGATTATTATTACCACTATTATTACTATTATTATTACTATTATTATTATGTTTAATATTAGTGTTATTATTACTAATAAAATTACTATAATTATTACTATTTCTATTACTATTATTATTACTATTATTATTACTATTATAATTAAAATCATCATTACTATTATTATTATTATTATAATTATTATTATTATTATTTCTATTTTTATTACAATTATTGTTACTATTGGTATCACTATTATAATTACTATTATTATCACTACTATTATTACTATTATTATTACTGTTATTATTACTATTATTATTACTATTATTATCCCTATTGTTATTAATATTAATATCACTAAAATCATAACTATTATTATTACTATTATTATTATGACTACTATTACTAATATAATTTCGACTATTATTACTATTATTAATACTATTATTATTACTATTTATATTACCATTATTATTACTATTTTTATTACTATTATTAATACAATTATTATTACTATTATTATTATTATTATTATGATTACAATTATTATCAATAGTATTAATATTGCTATTGTTACTATTAATATTACTATTATTATTACTACTAATATTTCCATTATTATTGCAATTATTTTACTATTATTACTATTACTATCACTACTAATTTTATTATTGTTATTATTACAATCATTATAACTATTATTAATACTATTATTAATACTATTATTATCACTATTATTATTACTGTTATTATTATTATTATAACTATTATCATAACATTTATTATTACTATCATTATTTCTATTACAATTAAATTTAATATTACAATTATTATTAGTATTATTATCAATATTAGTATTATTTTATTATTACTACTATTATTACAATTATTATTATTATTATTATTACTATTATCATCACTACAATTATTACTATTATTATTACTATTATCATCACTACAATTATTACTATTATCATTACTATTATCATAACTACAATTATTACTATTATTATTACTATTATGGTTATTATTATTACTATTATTATTTCAATTATTATTACTATTATTACTGCTGTTACAATAACTATTATTATTACTATTATTATTACTATTATTATTAAAATTATCATTACTTTTATTATTACTGTTACTATTAAAATTAATATTACAATTGTTATTACTAGTATTATTACAATTATTATTTTTATAATTATTCCTATTATTATTACAAATAATATTACTATTATTATTACTATTATTATTACTATAATTATTGTTACTATTATTACTATTTTTAATATTATTATTGTTACTATTATTGTTACTATTGTCATTACAATTATTATTACTGTTATTATTGCTGTCATTATTACTATTAATATTATTATTATTATTAATATCATTATTACAATTATAAAACTATTATTACTAATAATATCACTAATATTATTACTATTACTATTACTATTATTATTACTATTATTATTACCATTATAATTACTATTACTATTACTATTATTATTATTATTATTATTACTATTACTATTAATATTATTTACTCTATAATTATTATTATAATATTTACTATTAATATTTCTATTATTATTACGATTATTATCATAATTATTATTACTAATATTATTAGTATTATTATTACTATTATTATTACAATTATTGTTATTATTGTTATTCTTATTATTATTATTATTAATACTTTTTTTTACAATTATTACTACTACTGCTATTACAATTTTTTATTACTATTATTATTACTTCTATTACTTATATTTTTATTATTATTATCCAATTATTGTTACTATTATTATTACAATTTTTAATACTATTATTATTTACTATTATTATTTCTAATATTAATACTAACATTATTACTATTATTATAACAATTTTTATTACTATTATTATTGCTATTATTATTACCTTTATTATTACTGTTATTATTACTATTATTATTACTATTATTAGTAGATTTATTTAAACATTAAAAGACGGAAACTCGCGCGGGGTCTTAAAATAAATTTCGATTATTTTCAAATTTTAATCTCGCGATAGTTGACCTTGTGTAATATAAGCATAAACGCGCTCATTCTTAACTTTGACAATTACCCTATTTAGTTTACTTTTAAGCTCCGACGCAAACACATCGAAAATTTTTTTTCGAACGGAAGTTGTTATAAATTATTATTTTCGATAAACTTTCAATTATTTAAACAGTCTTTAGTGTACGCGGGATAGATAAAAGTAATATTTAAACAATAGTAGATTTATTTACACATTACGTGACGGAAACGCGAACGGGACTTAAATTAAAATTCGATTATTTTTAAATTTTAATCTCTCGATAGTTGGCCTTGTGTCATATAAACATAAACGCGCTCTTTCTTAACTTTGACGATTACCGGGTTAGTTTTCTTTTGACGGGTGAGGATCGAGATTCTGTGATTATATACCTATATTAATTACATTTAACTTCCAATTAAAAAAATTATTTTTAACAAATAATATAAGTAATAATTATTTTTATTACCTCTATTATTCCTCTCATATTTACTATTATTCTTATCATAATTAATATACTCTTATCCCTTAAAGTTTTTCAAGATCGAGAAAAACCATCTCCATACGAATGTGGATTTAATCCTTTAACTTCGCCTCATCTCCCATTTTCTATTCAATTTTATTTAGTTGCTGTAATTTTTTTAATCTTTGATATTGAAATTATTTTTATACTTCCCTTTAACCCCTCTCTAACAATAAACTACTATCTATTTTATTGAATACAATCATTCCTAATGATTTATATTTGCTTAGTTATTGGACTAATTTACGAATGAAATGAACAATCAATTATTTGACTTAAATAAATATTTAAATAGGATATTAGTTAAAAAATAACATTTATTTTGCAAATAAAAATTAAAATTAATTAAATTTATATCTTTAATATGAATGGAAAATCCAATTTAATTTCGACTTAAATATTTGATTATTAAAACTAATCCATATTATCTTTATCTATCTTATATAAATTTTTAATTGAAGCCAAAATAGAGGCAAATTATTGTTAATAATTAAACTGAATAATTTTTTTTCCAATTAAATTTCAACTTTTTAACTCCCTCATCTTTTACTTAACTTTCTAATTTCAATTAATTTATATAGTTTAATTAAAACATTTTATTTTCAATAAAAAAATAATATACTTTATATTTATAAATTAAATTTAATATATTAAAAAGAAATAACTTCATATAAAGCTTCTAACTTTATCACAATGATTAAAAATCATTTTATTTCTTCTATTATTAATTAATTTACTAATTTATTAATTTATTAATTTTTATTTTTATTTTTATTTTTATTTTTATTCCAACCTAATTCTCTTCTTCATTTAAAAACAATTTATGTTACCGTAATATCTTCAATATTAAACTCTTACCTTAAGCTATTTAAATAATTAAATTTAATTTCCATAAATTAATATTATTATAAAAACTAATATTCATATAAACATAAATAAATTCATGTACATAAATTTATCCAATATTAATAAATCTAATAAGTTTACAATAAATCTTTTTTTTACTCCATAAATAAATAAATATTCTAAAACACCTTTATCAAATCTCTTATATATTAACATAGAAAATTTTAAAGGATAATATCTAATTTTTATATAAATTAAATTTAACCCCCATATTCTAGAAAAATATATTTTTCTATAATTTCTCAAATTTAACATATTAAAAAATCTTATAAATCAACCTAAAATACATCCCACTAAACAAATCTGTATAACTATTAATTTTTCAAATAAATTTAAAATAATTAAAGTAAAATTTATTAAATTTATATAAAAATATCCAATTATCAAAGAATAAAAATATAAAATAATTAATGATACTCTTATTATTGCCCTTTCTCCTAATAAAATAAAATAATTTATTTTATTTATATAACTTAAATATACTATAATAATTAAACGAATACTATAAGAAACCGTAAATATTGTAGAAACTAATAATATTAATATTCTTACTATATTTATCTTTCTTATTAAAAAAACTTCTATAATTAAATCCTTAGAATAATACCCAGAAAAAAAAGGAAACCCACATAATGATAATAACGATACAAAAAATACAAGCCTAACAAAAGGATAATATCTAACTAATCTCCCTATAAATCGAATATCCTGATTATTATTTATTTGATGAATTAATACCCCTCTACATATAAATAATAAAGATTTAAATAAAGCATGAATTAATAAATGTATAAACCCCAAATCTACTTCTCCTAACCTCAAAATTCTCATTATTAACCCTAATTGTCTTAATGTAGATAATGCAATAATCTTCTTTAAATCATTTTCAAAATTAGCTATTAATCCAGATATTATTATTGTAGACCTAGAAATAAATAATATTAAACTTATTAAATGATTTCTTATCTTATATCGTATTAATAAATAAACTCCAGCTGTTACTAAAGTTGACAT